ATTGATTTTTTACAGAGAGGAAGGGAGAGAGATAGAGAGTCAGAAACATCGATGAGAGAGAAACATCGATCAGCTGCCTCCTGCACATCTCCCACTGGGGATGTGCCCGCAACCCAGGTACATGCCCTTTGACCATGAGCTTGGAAAGTTTTTTATAAAAACAAATCCAGCCCCAGCGGGTCTAGCTCAGTTGGTTGGAATGTTGTCCCCTAATCTGAGAGGGCCGGGGTTCAATTTCTGTTCAGGGGACATTCACAGATCATGGTTCCAATCCCTGGTGTGGGTGGGTAAGGGAGGCAATTGGCAGATGTTTCCCTCTCACATGGATGTTTCTCTCTCCCTCTTTCATCTTCTTTCCTCTCTCTCTAAAATAAATTAAATAACAACAAAAACAAACCCATTTACGGTCCTTAAAAAAAGGATAACTATAAGAGCAAAACTCTGAAAATAACCCAAGTGTCTGTTAAAGGAGAATACATGCCTGGCGGTGTGGCTGAGTGGTTGAGTGTGGACCTATGAACCAGGAGGTCACTGTTGGATTCCCGGTCAGGGCACATGCACAGGTTTTGAGCTCGATCCCCTGTGTGCGACCTGTGGGGGGCAGCTGATCAATGATTCTCTCTCATCATTGATGGTCCTGTTTCTCTCTCCCTCTCCCTTTCTCTCTGAAATCAATTAAATATATATGTATATATATATATATATATATACATATATATACATATATATATATTAAAAAAGGAGAATACATAAATAAATGTGGTATAATCACACAGTAGAATATTATTTGTCTGGGAAAATGAATTATAGGTCTAAGAATCCATATGGATAATATATTAAAAAAATGTTGGTAATAAGAAGCAAGTTACAGGGTAATTGCCGGCAGTCCCGTGCAAAGGCTGCCAAGGTTCATGCAGAGGCCCTGGAGGCACATGGCTAGCCAGTGACCCTGCGGTGGCCTCAGTGGCAAGGCCTCCCGATGCTTGGTTGGGGCTCTGGGAGCAGAATGGAGGTTGGGCCCGGGCCGCTGGTAGGGTAGGAGGTGGATGGGCCCGGAGCGGGGTGGATGCGGCAGCACCAGTCAGAGTGATGGGCACGCTCGAGGAAGAGAGTTTAGGGCCGTCTTCCTCTTTGGCCTCTGATGCAGAATTGGATACTGTGGTTGGCCATTTAGAGGACATTATCATGGATGAGAGTTCTAGTTATTACAGAGAAATTTCATGGACAAGTACTACCAGGAGTTTGAAGATATAGAAGAGAATAAACGTACCTACACACCTACTTTTTAAAAAATATGTATTTTTATTGATTTCAGAGAGGAAGTGAGAGGGAGAGATAGAACCATCAATGATGAGAGAGAATCATTGATCGGCTGCCTCCTGCATGCCCCCTTCTGGGGATTGAGCCCGCAACTCAGGCGTGTGCCCTTGATCAGAATCAAACCCTGACCTCCTGGTTCATAGGTCAATGCTCAACCACTGAGGTTCGCCATCACTGATCTAGGGAGTGTCATAAGGTCAAGTCTAATTATGCTAAGAGGACTGTGCCCTCTAAGCTGGGACTTGTCTGTGGCTTTGCTAACAGGTCAGTCCAAGGCTTAACCCGATAGCCGTGCCCTACAAGAGGCGACTTCATTCCTGGGCTGAGGGTAGTTGGAATGGATGTCCTATGGGTCCGGGAGGCAACAAAGTTTGCAGCTGCCCATTGTAGGGCTGGAAAGGGGCCTATACTAATGGAGCAGCAGACCTACCGTTACTATGGACACAGCGTGCGTGATCCTGGCGTCAGTTATTCCCGAGAGGAATTCAGGAAGAAGTAAGAGTGACCCTATCATGCTTCTCAAGGCTAGAATGGGGAACAGCAGTCTTGCCAGTGCTGAAGAATTAGGGGAAACTGATGTTGAAGTGAGGAAAGAAATCGAGGATGCCGCCCAGCTTGCTACAGTGGATCCTGGACCGCCTTTGGAAGAACTAGGCCAGTGGTCGGCAAACTGCGGCTCGCGAGCCACATGCGGCTCTTTGACCCCTTGAGTGTGGCTCTTCCACAAAATGCCATGTACAGTGCAATTGAAACTTCGTGGCCCATGCGCAGAAGTTGGCATTTTGTGGAAGAGCCACACTCAAAGAGCCAAAGAGCCGCATGTGGCTTGCCAGCTGCAGTTTGCCGACCACTGAACTAGGCTGTCACATCTACCTTTTGAAGTTCGGGTGCAAATCAGTGAATCAAGTATAAGTCCATCAGTTAATGGGAGACTGCGTGTAATGGATGGTTCCATCTTCATTTTTTTTTATATATATATTTTATTGATTTATTACAGAGAGGAAGGGAGAGAGATAGAGAGCCAGAAACATTGATGAGAGAGAAACATCGATGAGCTGCCTCCTGCACATCTCCCACTGGGGATGTGCCCGCAACCCAGGCACATGCCCTTGACCGGAATTGAACCTGGGACCCTTCAGTCCGCAGGCCGACGCTCTATCCACTGAGCCAAACCGGTTAGGGCCTGTTGCAGCTTTTCAGCTCCCTATTCTATGGAAATATACCTTCCGCTGCTCTGCAGCCCCGTGCTTTTCCATGGTCCTCTTAATTTCTAAAATTTCCTAAACCTCTTTCATCCCTAAAAATTCCCGTTTCACCGGGAAAGCAGAAACGCTCTCTGTGGGCGCTCCAGTGTGTGCTTACGCTGGAAGTAAAATCTCCTTTTCTTATAGCACGTTGAGTGTGCAGGTCTGCTTACATTTTTTCTGCATAGCTCAGTTGGTTAGGGTTTCTGTTGGGATAGAGGGTCTGTAATGCCCTCTTCCTGTCAAAACCTTCCTGCCAAGACCGACGTCTGCTGGCCTAGCTCAGCAGGAGCAGGGGGGAGCGGACAGCTTTCGGGCGCACGGCTGCTTTGAGTTGGTACATTGGCTTCGCGCTGTGTGTGATAGACCAGAAAACGGGGCTGTCACACCTCGAGAAGGAGAAAACAGTTCCATTCCCAGTGCGTACCTGAGATTTTTAAAGTGAAAATAAGAATCCGTATGACTTTTCATGTGACCGTTCTGGTTTCAAAGGATGAGCTATATATAGGCTGTGTGTTTTCTGTACTGATGGGGCACTTATTAAATACTTTTTTAAAATATATATTTTATTGATTTTTTACAGAGAGGAAGGGAGAGAGATAGTTAGAAACATCGATGAGAGAGAAACATCGATCAGCTGCCTCCTGCACATCTCCTACTGGGGATATGCCCGCAACCCAGGTACATGCCCTTGACCGGAATCGAACCTGGGACCTTTCAGTTTGCAGGCCGATGCTCTATCCACTGAGCCAAACCGGTTTCGGCTATTAAATACTTTTACCGTGAGTAAAATTTGAGGTGTTTTGCAAGAAAAAAATTAGAAGCAAGTTACAGCATAATACATAAACTATGAAGCCATTTATCTAAAGTTCAACACAGTAAGGGAGAATTGCGGCCAGCCGCTCCAGTACAGACATAGAAGGCCCACCACTGATGCTCTGCCTACTGGGACACCCGGCCGCCCTGAGACTTTTTTTATGTTTGTCAAGAAACAGGCCATTTGGCCGAACATCCCAAAGGGACTTTATCCCCTGGAAAAGGTAAACGCCCCGTGGGTTAGGAGCTGGACTCCAATTCCTAGCTTTTTCCAAGGAGGGTGTCAATAGGGAGGAAGGGGTGAGAGGAGCTGATATGACTGGCCAGGGGCAAAACAGACTGAGGCGGATCACCCACCTAAGAAATGAAGTCCTGGCCCTGCTACCAGTTTCCCTGGGTAGCCTCGTTTCTGACAGCTTGGTGCAATAGAAAGAACACGAGCTTTGGGGTCTGCTACTTCGCAGCTGTGTGACTTGGAACTACTTACTTGGGTTTTCTAACATTTAATTCCCTCGTTTGTCAAAGGGAGATACTGAGCCACACACAGCTGTTGGAAAGAGGCGAGATGGGGATTTTAAACATTTACTGACTGCATTTCTCGTTGCTTTCATCAATTTTGATCCTTAGTTGCCCCACCCATAAAATGGAAGCATTAGATATCTTTTTTTAAGAGAAACGGGAAATACAGAACTTTTAAATGAAATATCCAAATCCTGACCTGTTGGAAATAAAAAAAACTGTAAAGACTTTTTTTTTTTTTAAGCTAATTTTTAAATGTGAGAACACCCTGAGGGTCCAAGAAGGTACCACTGTGCCGTGGATTTGGCCTGCGAGCCACCCATTTTCCACTTCGGTTACTGGGTTGTGGGGTGAGGGTTATGATGTGAGAGAGACCTTACTATATAATTCAGGCAAATCAGTTTACTTCCCAGAACTTCGAATAGCCCGTCCGTAAAATGGACCCACCTTTGGGTAGATAAAGAGAGATCAACAAACTCATACGCACACCAGGGGAGGCAGTGGGGGCAGGAGGAAGTGGATAACAGCGATCAAGTATGCGGAGCCCGGAGGAGAGCAGACTTTGGGCGGCGATAGTTTACCTCAGTACATTTAATTTTTAATTTTTTTTTAAAATTTTTTATTTTTTTTGGTGCCCTGACCGGGAATCGAACCCGGGACCCTGCAGTCCGCAGGCCGACGCTCTATCTGCAGAGCCACACCAGCCAGGGCACATTTAATTTTTAAAAAGAGCTCAGGTGTGTGACACGCGTAGCATGACACCAGCGCGCAGTAGGCACACCACACAGCACGGGGCCGCGGTAGCCTTTTTTTTTTTTTTTTTTTTTGTGGGAGTAGATTGGAAAGCATGTCCCAAGGAGCCAGCTATCCCCGAGGCCAGGAGACCGGAAAAGCGTCGCTGGCGAAGGAGAAAAGACGGCCGAGGGGGAGAAACAGGAAAAGGGAAGAGGCGGGGAGGCAACAGGGCCCGCCCTCCAGGCGGGGCGCCAGCGAGAGGCCCAGGCCGGGCTGGAGCGCACGTGGCCTAGTTTGGGCGGAGCGGACGTGCCCGGCCGCAGCGGAGACCCCGAGCGGCACAGAGGGAACGCCCGGAAGGTGGGTCCGAACCGGACTGCGAGGACCGTGAGAGTAGGGGTGGAGCGGACGGGGGTCCTGGGAGCTGGGGAACGGCGGAGCCACAGGCCCTGGGTTCCCCACCCTCCCGGGGCAGCTCAGACCGGACGCTCGGGTCCTCCGGGTCCCTCCCCCAGGGGCGGCGCTAGCGGTTCTGACCAATGACAGGCCGCCCCGAGGCCCCGCCCCCGACGCCTCACGAATGCCCAACCGCCGGGAGCCTGGCCTGGGGCTGCGTGAGCGCTGAACCTGCGGCTGGTGAGTGCGCACCCGCAGGGTCCCCGCCCCGATCCCGCCTCCAGCCCGTGCCCTGGAGTTCCGGGCCCCGACCCAGGCGCCGGCAGTGACTCAGCGCGGGGAGGGTGGCGACTCGTTGGCACTGGAGATTCGAACTGTTCTGGGCCTTGAACGCCGGGATGAGTGGGGTGAACGAGTGTCTTCGGAGCTGGTCGCGGGCAAGTGCTGGTGCCTAGGGCCGAGCTGGGTGGGAGGGAGAGGGCCAACCCCCAGGGTCGGCCGAGGGAAGCCGCGCTGCACCGCCTTGCCTGGGCCAGGCCGGGGTGCGGGGTGGGTCCTGAGCTTCTGACCCAGCTGCCCGCCCTAGGACACCAAGATGCCTGGCGAACAGCAGACACCGAAGGTGGAGGAGGAGGAGGAAGAGATGCAAGAGGAGATGGTGCTGCTGGTGAAGGATGAGGAGGATGAGGGTGAGGAGAAGTATGAGGTGGTGAAACTCAAGATCCCCGTGGACAACAAGGAGGTACGTGTCCCACACCCCGATCCCTAACCTGGTTCGGGCGCAGCCTCCATCAGGCAGAAGCCCTGGATCTGCCCTTGCAGCTACAATCCTGTGTGGTGAGAGCAGGCGCGGGGGCGGGGTGGGGGGGGGGGGGAGAAGCCCGGAGCTGGGAGCCTGATGCAGACGGGGTGGGGGAGGGGCCAGGTTAGGCGACAGAAACCCGGACCCTTGGGAGCATTTACTGTTCTCCAGGCACTGTGTTAAGCACCTCGGTTCTATAACATAGGTAGTATTTGTTCCATTTTACAGGTGAGGAAACTGAGGCCCAGGAAGCTTGATAGTTTGGTGACTGGCCAAGGTCCCAGAGTTAGTAAAGAGATGGCTTATCCGAGACCAGTGAGAGTGAGGGGTGAGGTGAGTGGCGACTCCAGGCAGAAGAAATGGGCCTTTCAGTGGCCCAGAGGGAGGGAGTGGGGCACGGGGAGAAGCGTGGATGAGCTCAGGGTGTTTGGCAGGCCAGGTAGGGCATTTGGGATTTATCCTGAGGGAGAGGAAGGTTTAACGAGAGGAGCTTTAATATCAGAATAGGAGTTAGATTTCCCCCTTCAGGCCCCAAACTGCCACAACTTCCAGTGCAGCCTGCTCATACCTGGGGAACTCTGGCTGGGCCAGGTTTCTGGGCCCAGGCTCTGGTTTCTTCCTGCAGGGGAGCCAGTTCCCAGGGAAAGACGTTCGGCTGCCCCCTAGTGGGTGTGGTGGGCCCTAGGGGGAGGGGGCTGGCTGCTTTGGCCTCTGCTCCCAGTCAGAATAGCTCTGTAGGTCTGTATTTCTCAGGCCTCCTTGGCCCCTTATGCTAGCTTACTCTGCCTCTTCTGGCCCTGTGATCGCCTGATCTCCCCATTCCACCTGTAAGTTAAGAACTCAGACTCCAGAGCTCAGGGTGGACTTTGATCTCCATTTACCAGCTGTATGACCTTGGGCAAGTTTCTTAACCTCTTTGTGCCTCACGTTCCTCATTTGTAAAAGGAAAATCATACCCACACCTACTTCTTAGGGTTGTGAGGATGAAATGAGTTAACACACATAAAGAGAACTGTTTACATAATAAACACTATGTAAATGTTATTCATTCTGCGATTATTCCTTCTTCCTCTAAAGTTTAGGACCTTGGTCTAGGTCAGTGGTCGGCAAACTCATTAGTCAGTGGAGCCAAATATCAACAGTACAATGATTGAAATTTCTTTTGAGAGTCAGATTTTTAAAACTTAAACTATATAGGTAGGTACATTATTATTAATTAGGGTACTCCTAAGGCTTAGGAAGAGCCTTAAGGTCATCCTAGAGATTTTTCAACTCATTTTTATCAAAGGCCTTTTTGGGGTGTATCCCGGGGCTGGGTGTGAAAGGGGAGACCCACATGGGGGCCTAGACAGAAGATTGAGGGCAGACAGCTCAAGGCAGTGGGGAAGGTTCACAGACAAAGCTCAGTGGGCATTTGGCAAATGGAGGCAGAGGAGGGGCATTCCAGGAGGAGGAAACAGCAGAAGCAAAGGCTCACAGGAGACGGGGCCAGAGAGCTACAGGTATTGGAAGCCGCATAGGAATTTTACATACGCGTGAGGTGATACGGTGCCATCAGAAGCCTGAGATCAGAGGAGACATGTTGGGTTTTCTGTTCAGAAGATTCACTGGCTGTTGTGGGGAGAACAGGCCATGTGAGGCTGGCAGCCTGCTCTCAGGTAGTGACAGCAGTGGAGACAAGACAGAAAGTTGGGGATATTTTCAAACCTTGATTGGACTGGCTAGAGCTAAGGATGGGATGGAGGAGGCTGGGCATGGCTGGCCATGAAACGTATGGAGGGCTAGGGGTGGGTGAACTTTTTGACTCGAGGGCCACAATGGGTTCTTAAACTGGACCGGAGGGCCGGAACAAAAGCATGGATGGAGTGTTTGTTTGAACTAATATAAATTCAAAGTAAACATCATTACATAAAAGGGTACAGTCTTTTTTTTTTTTTAGTTTTATTCATTTCAAACGGCCGGATCCGGCCGCGGGCCTTAGTTTGCCCACGGCTGCTCTAGACAACATGTAGCAGTTAAAAGCATCGGTTCAAATCCCAGCTTCACCATTGACCAGCTTTGCCTACACATCCCATCAACGTTTACCATAGCACTCTGCCCACAAGGTAGCTCATGAGCTTGCTGTGTGGTCTCCCTGAGTCTGTTTCTATGAAGATTGTCGTCTCCAAAGCTCTTTCCAGTGCTGACATCCTGCATCTCGTAGCTGTCATCACCCAGTCCCATGGCCAGTCATTGTCCAGAACAGGCCTGAACTATGCTGCACACGGGCGCTGAAGCATTCTCTCACTGCCTATCAAAATCCAACCTCTCCTTAACACAAAGATATTCTCAAAGGGCTCTGTGCACATCTGATCCTCTCTCTCTGCTTAAACCTTTGAGTGTTTTTCTGTTCCCTCAGGATAGAGTCTTAGCTCCTAGGCCTGGCATTCAAAGCTCTACCACCTGACCTCATGTCCTGACTTCATGACCCAACACCCATCCCATGCCCCAGTTCAAACAGACCTGACCCTTTCTCACCTCTGAGACGTTGCCTATGGGGTCCTTCAGCCTGTAAAACCCTCTTCACCTTTCCCACCTGCTTTCTCCAGGAGTTGTTCTCTCTTCTAGATTAAATCTTAATTTTAACAAGCATACAAGTCACCTGGGAATCTTGTTAAAGTGGAGATTTTGATTCAGTAGGTCTGTGGTGGGACTTGAGATTCTAACAAGTTCCCGGTGATGCTGATATGGTTGGTCTGTAGCAAGGAGCTGGTTCTCAACCTTGGCTGCACATTAGAATCATCTGGGAATCTTTTTAAAATCCTGATTTCTGGGCCTCATCCTCCGGGAATTCTGTTTCTTTGTTATGGGGTGGGGCCACAACATTGGTAACAAAGAAATAGAATTTCCAGAGGATGAGACCCAGAAATCAGGATTTTAAAAAGATTCCCAGGTGATTCTAATGTGCAGCCAAGGTTGAGAACCACTGAGCTAGAGGGTAGGGATCGTACTACCAAAAAGAAGAGGGATTCTGAAAAGGGTCCAGGGCAGGGAGACAAGCTGTGTAGGGTGACCTCAAACTTGTCAGTGAGGTAGAACTGCAGCATGGTTAAGAGAACAGGTGTTTTGGATGATGGGACTTGGCGTTCAGACCCCAGTTCGGACATTGATTGGCTGTAGGGCCTTGTGTGGTCACTTTCCTTCTGAGTCTTACTTTCTTATCTATAAAATGGAGCTCCTGATACCTAACCCAAGGGGTTGTGAGAATTTAATGAGCACGTGAGTGAGAAGCACTTAGCACAGTCCCTGGCACATAGCTTAATTCATGGTAGTTGTTGTTATTTTAAAATAAACTTTTATTAATTTCAGGAGGAAGGGAGAGGGAGAGAGAGAGATAGAAACGTCACTGATGACAGCATCATTGATCGGCTGCCTCCTGCACGCCCCATACTGGGGTTTGAGTCCGCAGCCCAGGCCTGTGCCCTGACCTGGTATTGAACCGTGAACTCCTGGTTCATAGGTCAATGTTCAACAACTGAGCCATATTGGCTGGGTGGTAGTTATTACTGAGGAGGGAACTGGGACCTTTGCTCTGTTAAAACCAAACTAAACATAAAGCAGGAATACAAACGCAATCACTTCATGGACTTGGATCATCATATTACTATACTACATTGTATCCCCATGGGACCTTCTTGTTATAGTGCAAATACCATTTATTCTAATTTTTAAATCTAATAGCTGTAGAATTTAACACATGGAAGGGCCTTGGCTGACCACCTAGTCTGGTATTTGCCCAGCTTTAGTTGCATGTTCATCGCTCACCTGCTGTGCTCATGACTTAATGCTTTTCCTCAGGTAGGTTAGCAGCTTTTGTTAAATCCATTTTTATCCAAAAAATAATACTGATGAAACTGTGGGTTTCATGTGATGCATCTTTTTTCTAATATCCGTGAAAAAAGATACATAATGATCATAATGAGATACGAGTGCACCAGCAGAAGACTGAATCCTCTTGCATCCTGTGATGTGTGCATAGCACCAGTTGGGCACTTTTTATCTCACGGAGCCTACCTCGCCTTCCTGGGTTCACTGGGGCCTGGGACGGGAGTGACTTGCCTGTGATCTTAATGAGTTAGTCTCAGCCCCTCTTACCTAGATTTGTCCTGGGGCACCCAGAGCCCCTTCTCTTGGAGCTGCCAATGCCAAGAGTACTTGTGTGAAGAGTTTCCTTTTTCTAGTCAGTGACCCTGCGTAAGGACGCCCTCAGGAAGGCTTTAGTCATCTTAAAGATGGGTGCCAGAGACAAAAGGGCCAGAACAAAATGTAGTATAATAAGAAAAGTTCTCTCCGCAATGGCTGCTGTGCTGCAGTAAACCCAGTAGGTGTCAAAACCAGGGTAAGACTGGAAAGTGTGACCTTGAATTCTCACTGTGCCAACTCAGCTATGGGGAGTTTCTCGATATCAGGTTGTACTTTAACTTTAAATTCCTCTTGGAAAGTGCCAGGGACGTGGAGTCCAGCCTCTGTCCCATCTTGGCCGTGTGGGCGCAGGGAAGCGCAGTATAGCCTGCTAGTTAAGTGAGGGTCCTGACTCCCCTGGCTATGGGAATTTAATCTGCCTCAGCCTGTTTTCCTAAATACCAAGGATAACAGCTGACTCGAGGCAGGTGACAGGAAGATTTAATACAATGTACATCACATAGCGTTGTTGAAACTTTACACTGTAATGCTGGTATCACTGTCATTATTCTTTGTACAGTTTAAGCGAGAATTCCGATCTCCAAGGCCTTGAAGTTGCCCTTCTTGCACCTTCAGAAAGTAAAATCCTCGCCCTGGCCAGTGTCTCAGTTGGATAGGTGTAGTCCCATCTACTGGCAGGGGGTGCAGGAGGCAGCCGATCGAGATTCCCTCTCACATCAATGTCTGTCTCTCTCCCTTCCTCTCTCTTTAAAATCAATAAGCTTTTCTTTTTTTTGGCAAAAAGAAAAGAAAGTAAGGCCCTTCACGACTCACAAGCTGTCACTTACCCTCTCTTAACCAGTTTCCTTATCTATGAAATAAGACTATGGTAACTACTTTGTGGGGAGAAGCTAAGACTGTCTTGTCCTTAATATGTGTCAGATATTTCATTTAATCATTAATTAATGTACCTAATTGCTCGGCCCAACATCACTCAACATCACTTTGCCTGGATGAGCCCCCTCTTCTAAGAAGGGAGCAAGATGCCCTCAATATTCCTCTTCTTTCTACTGTTAATACAAAATACTAGGACAGTACAATGTTAACACTGTTACTACAACCTGTGCCCTTCACCTGCCTTTTAGGAAACATTTCTTTTTCTGATTTTGTCT